TTTCTTTGACAGAAAATGGTAATTGTTTGGAAACACAAACCACTCGCTGGTTTAGTGAAGTCAGTAAAAAATCCGCATTCGCATTGGCACGTGGAACATGTTTTAGATTAATCAAGAAATGGCAAAAGTATTAATGCAATTATCAGGGAAATGAACTGTTCATATTAACCTCCTGTACCACATCTGTTCATCCAGCTTTTGAATATCAGGCTTGTTCATGTACCTTGGCAAGAAATTCTTTGTGTTGTTCATGGAGTGTTTCGGCGTCGGCTTTCAGCTCGGAAATCACATCTTCTTTCATCTTGACCTAAACTCCGTAAAACCAAAGAACAAAAAACTAAGAACACTTTCAGCGACCAAATGAAGCAAGTATTCTCCAAAATGGCATTCTTCAAATGGCATTAAAAGCAAATTTGGCATTGAAAGTCAAAGGAAACCTTTCAAAGATTTGGTCCTGAGGTTGAAATATCAAACAAACTATTTTTATTTGCGTTCTGATTACAAGAAGAGGGGAGAATTTTGAAACACTTCCAAAAATCCTTGAAAACTATAACTGATGATGTATTATATCATTTCCAGTTTATCTATTTCAATTTCCTAATGAGATGTCGCCTTACACAGTGGATGAACAAACTAACTTACGTTTTGCTGGAGGCTCTCTTCCTTGATCTGTGTCGACTGAAACTCGCTGTTCAGTTCCTGCAGTGCTTGTTCCAGACGCTCAACCTACACAGAAAACCCCCAGTTAATGTCCGCGGATACCACCCTAATCAACTCATACACAGATATGGTTTGTGTCATTTGACCTGAGCCTAAGCCAAGACAGCGATGCCTCTCACTAAAACAGGTAGTTTTTTTACACCTGGACATTGTGTTTGTCTTTTCAAGCTTCAGACATAAGTTTTAAGGAATTATCGCCTAAAATCAGACTGTGGTTCTAAACAATCATTTGTGGTATGAAAACATTGAACTGTCTAACATGGGATTTAAGTTCATGGTCACTGAACTAATTTCATCACAAGCTTTGAAGCCCACTGGTAAACCAGCCTGCTAATCGGCTAGCCAGGCATTTTGGATGTCCAGGAAAAGTCGGCTATCCAATCCAACCTGAGCGGGACCAAGAGAGGGTGTAATTCTCCTCGCAATTGTGAAAACTGCACTTTGCTAGCTCAAAAACAACAATGAAATGTGCCAGTTACGGTTGTATCACTACCAACAAAAATGAACCCCCCACCAATATGGCTCTTTTCAACCAATGAGAGGGTGCTTTTGCTAAATGATAATGCGACACGCCAACAAGCTCATGGCATCCTGCAACATACCACCTACCTCATCCCTGGCTCCGCTGTGCATGTGCCTCATCTCCTGAATCTGCCGTTCCAAGCTCTGAATAGTTTCGTTGCGACTCTTGATCTCATTCTGGGCCTTCTTGCACTGGTGCCTCAACTGCTCTAACGCCATCTCCTATTGGTGTACAATATTCGAACAGTAATCACACAGCCAATCACTAAACACCTTCTCAACACAAGTGTGTAAATCCATGACAGGAACTTAATAGTCGTCAGCAGTCTACCTACTTCAACTCAGGGGATCAACGTCATTGACGGATCTGGGGGAGCGGGCCAATGGGGACTCCCCCCGAGCAATATTTTCACTTTTCTTCTTTCCAAAAGCACGTAATTAGCCCAAAACTTAGCCTGATCTCTCAAAAAGGCCAGTTACAGAAATTGTGGACTCTCAAAACAATATTGGGTCTGTCCTTGATAAAGGTCAAAGCCTCTTCGTTAACTATCCAAAACTTATTTTAGTTTCCTTTTTTATTTCAATCTCAAGGTGATCCCTTCACAACCATATCTGACATTTTAGCACATCTGATTAGACAACAAATTACTGTCCGACATCAACCGTGACCAAAAGTCGTGGCGACGGATCGAAATATATGCTGGCCTATGGAAGACAATGGCTCGTGGCTACAACACCTTCCTATTAAGACATGTGCATTGACTCATGGGTGTTAAAGCAACGCCACTGATCAGAACCACAGTGTCTTTGCTCAAATGCTTCAAAGGGTCCACGCACGTCTTTTGGGTACACTATCAAATGATAAACTGGAATGTTTTTCTAAATCGCACCTGTTTGGACAACTTTTCCTCTGACTTGGCCACTTGCTCCCTCAAGGCAGTTTGCTCATTTTTCATCCGTTTCATTGCTTCATCTCGACGAGACACCTGTCAAGAGGAAATGAAGGCTAACTCAACTCAACCTTAGAAAATCTCACATCGGTGATTGAAAATTGACTCAAACCTGTTTCTTTCAAACATCTGAAAGTTGAGACAAATAATTAAAGTAGAGAAACGAGCACCGAGTTACACTCGTGTGGGACTAGCGTCACTCATGAACCACTTTACGCCGGATGACAATAAAACAAGCAGGGATTTCCCATGTTGCAACATGGAGGATGTTTAGACATGTTCTGGTGAATTCTACATGCAGTGCCGTGAGATGCCTGTACTTGTTCCTATGCTTGACCGATTCCCATTGAGTTTGTACACACAGAAGATCAGAATAGTCCACGGAGGTTGAGCGAGCACCGCACTCAAGTGGCTGTGGGCGCTGTGGCAAAGGCCACTCTGCCGAAATGTTTCAGCATTTCAGAGAAGTGGAGATGCAATCAGAAATGTACCTACCATAAGCAAAAGGACCACTGAGGGTCACCACTTGTGAAGTCCTAGTTTGTAAAGGCCTGTGTTTGTGGTATAGTGTTTTTTACGTTGGTATTTTCAGTTGGATATAAAAACTGTGCCTGAGACGAGTACGTTACAAAATAATGTCGGCAAGTGGTTTGAACAGACTTACCTCAATATTCAAGACATCGTGCTCACTCTGTGCAGTGATCTGTGCTGCTTGGATTCTGGCAGCCAGCCGGCCATTCTCCTCCATCGTGTCCTGCAGCTGTTGCTTGGTCTTTTTCAGCTCAGAATCCATCTGGGACAGGGAGGTCTTCCTCCTAGCCAGCTGAAACGGGAAGGCAGCAAAGAACCCAACATTTCAAGCCACAAAATCCACACTTTTTCAGAACTACAGGAATTTAGATCAAACTGCTCCTCTTAGAGGGAAAATAAAATTTTAATATTTAATTAACAACGCACAACTAGATGACAATTAGATGTTATACCTGTCACAGTAAAATATGTGAAACGCATAGAAATTGTCCAGACAATTTTTCAATGGTGAACGTTGAACGTGCACAGGCAAGCAGTAATGGAACTCTATGCAGTAAAATACATAACACATTGGATTCCTGCGAGTATGTTTACATTGTCAGTGGCCTCATCACATGGCAGTGCATAAACCACTACAGTAAGAAACCTGAGCCAAAGATACTGCTCTGAGACAGTGCATTCTGGCCAATTAGTAGTCTTATTTAGGTATAACATCACAGCCTGGCTTCCAGGGTGTCACTTCTATTGTTCAAAGTCATTGACATATTCATATGCATGTGGAACAGTTTTCTCCGCAAGTGGTCAATATCGTGTTGATTAATTTTGGATTTTTGCCCCGCCCAACGTGTATTTTGAATTTTACCTTGCCCGACGTCAAAGACAAAATACACGTCGGGCAGGGCAAAAATCCCAAATTAATTTAAATCTACCCGGCGCAAATCCATCTTAGAATATCGTGTTGCATGTCGCTTTCCATCAGTGTTTCCCGTTATCACTTGCATGCGTAAATGGCCCCATTACCTCTTCCACCAGTTTGCGTTTCTCCTCCTGCGAGGCTGTTTGCTCCGCCTCTAGCTTCCGAACTGCATCCTCTCTCCTCTCCGACTCCCCCTGCAGGGTGCGGACCTGCCTCTGGAGACGTTGGATGGTTTCCTCGCGATTCTCGACCTTCGAGATTTCAAATACAAACGAGAGAAAGGAAGGAAAACACAGATGAAGGAAGCAGAGAGATTTGCAAAGAGGATTCAACCAAGGTTTGCGATGTCTCTCTCACGTTCAAGCAGATCTTTTGCACTGATTTCATATTTTTCTACAATGTTCTTCTGGGTGCTTGGGGGTTGAAAAGAAATCCACAAAACATCTGACAAAGGGCTTCTTACAATGGCAAGAAAATACTGTGACTTGTCAACTAACAATGCAAGTGTATTCTCACAAAGATCGTGATTTAATAGGTGAATTCTGAACTTGAATTTTTTTTGGTCAAAGTGCCAGAAAGTAGCAAAATTGAATAATGAAACCTCTGAAATTCCTCAATTTCGAGGTCAAAAGTCCTGAAATCTTGACTGATCCAGAGAAGTCCGACTTCAGCCTCTTTGATCTGCCACGTTTGTTGTTTGGACATGTCCAAAAACGGGATATGTCTACGCCTACATCAAACCACTGTGGTGCATTAATAGCGAAAAGCCTAAGTCATAGCCACAACCTACCCAATGCAAGTAAGTGCTCCATACACCAATTAAACTGGAGAGAAGAAGATTGTTCCATCAGGACCCACCTGTGATTGGCTCTTGGAGACCTTCTCTTGCACATTGGTCAGCTCGGTCCTGGTGGCCTGGAGGGCGCCCTCTTTGACGGTCAAGTCTGCTTGGAGCTTTGCGGCTCTCTGTCGTGCCTCCTCCTCAGTCCTTGATGCTTGCTCTTGTACCTCTGCCAACTTTTAACCCCCCCAAAAAACCAAGCAGTTATGGAAGTTTTTTCTTGTCTGACTGCAACGTCATGAAAATGCTAAATACAAATGTTTTGCTCAGGAGAGAGTAGGAATAGGACAATTTCAAGCTCTATCAAAGAACTAATCATTCTTGCTTAACATATGCAGCAAGCCCTGCCATGCCACCATGTTATGCCACCACAACTGCATCCATTTTTTTTAATAGTTGTACAGTTTCGGCAGAAGAGACAAAAATTAATGATGCCTTTTTAACCCTACCGAGGCTACATGTATATCCTTGAATTTCTACATGATTTTAGATACACAAGAAGAAGTTTAACCACTCGGTACCAGGGTTACTAGTACCGGAGACCTTGGGTTTGTATGCATCGCTGGGGTGCCCGAAATCAGACCAAAGAGCTGGGCCTTGTAACACAAGACCATACTCGGAACAAAAGACCGAGCTACTGGGAATTGCCAACATTTTTCAGCACAGAGTGCTGGCATTACCGGAGGTAATCCGTCATTGTTTTGAAACGGTACACCACTGTTTGCAGCATTCAGCGTTTGTGGATTATCAACGGGGACAAACGTGCTCCAGCTTTCCAGCGATAAGCGATACAGTACCGCTGCACACTAATCTGGCTGAATTTGAAAAGACACCACTGCCATTCAGCAATGCACTAGGCCAATTTTGGGAACAAAGGAAATTACACAACACTGCACAAGTGGGCTCTCTTTACTGGGCAGCAGGCCTGGCTGCAGTACCCAGGCGTCCATGGAGGTTGCCTGTCAGATTAGAGTAACCACCAGACAGTCATTCGTGTGGGTGCAAGGGTCCAGTAAATAAAGTTATGAATTTCTGAAGAATTTTGAAAACAGAAAATCGCCCGAAAAATCATCCCGCATATATGCACCAGGCAGGAAGTGGTTAATAGGGCTACTATGAAACTTTGAAATGTGGTAATCATGATGGAATAAATCTGTTCGGGTTGTGCCAAATTTGAGTAATCAAATCTAAACAAGTTTTTAAAACTGATGCTGTTCAACAGTTTTTATTTCATTTTTTTTCAAACATCCTTTTTGCCATGTTATGATATGTTCCTCTCACAACCTCCAAGACAACCTCCTTATATGGAAATTGGCACAAGCGTGGTGCATACTGCATGAGGTGGCACCGGTGCATTGTCAACCATTTTGGGGGGGAGAGGTTTAAGACCAGGAAAGTGACAGGCTCTAAACCAACAAGAATGGCTTACCCATCTTAGGTATTTATGAATGTGTATTTACAAAGTGCACATCTACGTCAGCACTGGCACTCAAGGCACTAGCAATTCTAAACTCCTCTCAGCTGCCTTGGGAGTATACAGCATGCTGCCATTTCAGGCACAAATGGCTGCTCAACACATGGCTATCTCTCCCTTCACAGAAACCTATATGCACTCCTGAGCTCAGAAAAGGAAAGTGTCTTGCCCAAGATCATAACATGTATCCAACTAGCTAGATTCAAGCCCCCAACCTGATGATCAGGGGTCATGAGCCCTATCTACTGAGCTGCACTCGTAAGCTCTTCTGATGGAAGCCTTGAGTTTGTCCGTGGCCCTACCTCTGTGTTGGCCTTCTTCAAGTCTTGCCGCAGCTGCTGCATGATCTCCCCCCGGTGCTGCACCTGGGCCAGGCACTCCTGGTGCTGCTCCTCAAGGAGCTGCAAGTCGCTGCGCAAGTGGACGATGGTGTCGTGACGTTCAGCAACCTGAAGTTGTAAACCAAAGAAAAAAATTCATAAATTCAAAGCTGGAATACCTTGTACGGTGGCGATGTATCAAACAATCCGAAATATGCTCAAGATAAACATAAAATTCTGTCTGGATATCTACTTAAAAATAATTTACAAGGTACAAATAAACAGACCTCTGGCTTAAACCAAGAATCTAGACATTCTAAAGACTGATTGCAACTTGCTTAAGATGTGCTTTGCATTGGGGAGATGTTAATTTCAATTACGGCTTTCTGCCCTTTACCTGACGTATATTAATAAACACTATATACTTAGTGCTTATCTGAGAGCTTGTGAAAAAATTCACAAGCTTACTCGGGTGGGACTCCAACCCACAACTTACTGCTTACTTGTGCAGATGTCTTAACCATTCGACCACCAAGATTGCCAGGGTCAGCTGGCAGGCCCGAGTCAGATGTAGCAGCAGGTACCGCAGACTAATTTCAAGATGTACTTTGCGTCAGGGAGAATCTTACAACTTGTGATGATCATTCAGAGTCAAAAGTTTTCCCGTACAATGTAATTCATACTTCTTGTATTTGACTATGTAATCTCATTTTCCAAATTTTGTTTTTTTTAATGACATGGAGGTTTTGTCAAGCAAGAAAAGATTGAAAGTCCAATTTGAAGCGTGTGATTGTTTCTTTTTTTTGGAAAAGAAACAAGAATGAAAGTGAAGTGGAGGATTGAAAAATATTTCAACGTGATCCAAAGGTGCTTCAGAAGTTTGGCTATAGCCAACAATAACATGCGCATCCATGGAAGCTGCTGCTTAGCAGCTACGGCTAGCTCCCACATATGCACCTGTTACTCTTAGCCACAGCCAAGACGCTCAGGCTCATTACTGCAGCATCTGGTATCCCCCCGGGACTTCCTCACCTCTTCGGTCAGTGCGTTCTGGGTGTCCCGGGAGGCATTGGACAGCGTAGCCACCTGCCGACAGAGCTTCTCCACCTGGGCCCGCAGCTCGTTGCACTGGCCCTGGCTCTGGCTCAGGTCCTGGTGCAGCTCCTTGATGGTGCACTCCTTCATGGATGCCTCCTCCAGCGCCCCCTGCAGCTGCCGGCTGACCTCTGCCAGGTCCCCCTCCAAGTTGCGCATCTCCTCCTCGCTCTTTTGAAGCTATAAGAGAGGTCAAAAGTCAAGATCTACACAAACATTCCCTTCAGATCTACACAGCAGGGCTTTAACAGTTTATTAAGTTTACCAAAGGGTGACCAACTGATCCCATGTGATATACATGTAACGTGCCCATCCACAGTGATCACCACAGCCTGTGTCTTTGACTTGCAATCACCCACTACCAAAGTACCAAGGTGAATATGTCATGCGTACAATTATTGTGTAAGAGGCCTTAGCGTGAGAACCAGCATGTGAACCAACACGCGCGCATACTCCATTCATTTGCACTGCACTTTCTGGTTCACAGTGACGTCACACTTCGGTACTCTATTGATGTCTTTCCGTACTAGTATCTGCAAATCCACTCATCACAGCACAAAATGTCACCATGCCAAAGCAAAGCAACAAAATCGCAAAGTAACGTGCAATGACTGACAACATGCAAGACAGATATGCAGATGTTGCAAATGAGGACAAAATAACATTAACATATCCAAATGAACAGAATACTTTCACTCAAGTTGTTCCTTTATGTTAGTGATATTTATTTTAATGAGTGATTGTATGGAATTAATATTACAGATTAATCTTTCTATTTGTCAGTGTCAGTCACACATTTTCATTCAGTGTTTTAAGCAATCTCGATGATCTTAGGCCATGTCCAAAATGGGCTTCCAGAGCTACGGCTAGGTCTAATGTCTTGGTGTCTCAATGCATTTCTTATGGAGCGAAGTCCTAGACCTAGCTCTAGACAACAAATTCAGACACAGCCTTACACTGAAATTACCAATATAAGTAAAAGTCTGGATCCCATTACCATGAGGCCTTCTTTGGTTTAAGAATCCGGGAACCTGATTCAAGAATGCAAGGGCTAGTCTCTAATTCCAGTTATTAGTACCTGTGTGGATTTCTTGTCCAACTGGTCTTCCAGACTGTGGGTATTTCTTTGCTGCGCTTCAAACTGATTACGTGCAGAGAGAATACAAAGAACTTAAAAGTACATCGTCGACCAGAATTCTCATTTCCCCAAACCGTTACCCCAGAAAAATTCAGCTTAATCTATGAAAAAAATTGACAATCTATTGGATGCAACTGCCAACAGGTGTGCCTCATATATTGTCTATTTCCTTTTTTCTGAATTAAGAATCCCCAGTTTATGGTGTATTTACATGGACCCCAGAAACACAGCGCAACAAAAGTTTGTTTGGCAGGTCTGTAACGCAATTATCCATGTATTCATTGTCGAATAATCGAATACCACTCTGCCTAAAGCAATGCAATTGGAGTGCGTTTTCATCAACCAAACCCAGTAGGGCAAGAACTAAAAGGCTTTTACCCAGCTATTTGAAGATGCAACCTTCTGATCTGATTTTGAACTGATGTCACCAATGCAGGTGTAAGTCTGGATCCCATTACCATGAAACCTTCCTTTCCTATAAGAGGCATCAGGGACCCTGATACAAGCCTACAGAAGCTAGTCTCAAATTCCAGTCGCTAGTACCTGTGTGGAATTCGTTTCCAACTGGTCTTCCAGACTGCGGATATGTCTTTGCTGTGCTTCAAACTGGTTTACGTGCAGAGAGAACACACAGAAATCAACAGTGCATCGTCGATGAAAATTTTCATTTCCCCAAACCATTTCCCAAGGAAAAATCACATAAATTTAGGACAAAATCCAAAATCTACTGGATATAACTGTGCCAACGAGGTATGTCTCATATAGTCTATTTCCATTTTTTCGAAATAAAAATCCCAATTTATGGTGTCTGCATTGCATGCATTCACATACAGCACAATTGAAATTTTGTATGGCAGGTTTTTAATGCGTTATCACATGCATTAGTGTATTAAGAATATAAAAATAAGCAAGGGGTATTTAAATTTCTCCAGATTTACCACGAGGGTAACCAACAAAGCCCTGTTACACCTCGTAAGACCTCGAGGCAAACCTCAAGCTACCTCTTGTTGAATTTTACGTTCTTCCATAAGGAAACAAGGCATCCCAAATCAAAGTTTCCAAGAGACAATAAGATACCCCTCTGCTAAAAACAACACAACTGATGTGCGTCTTCGTAAACCATATCTTTACAGAAGGAAAACCCAGTAGGGCAAGAAACGAGTAAAATGACATTAGTTGTGTAGTTGTTAATGTACCTCCATAGTCTCTCTCTCCAACTGCTCTTGTAAGGTCTGTGCTCTTCTCTTGTGAGTGTCCGACTGACAGAAACGAGTGCAAAGTTAGTGTTTCAAGCAACAGAAACAAGACAAGTGCACTGTGCATGCATTACCAGCCACTAATTAGGACAATCCACTGATGTCAAATTTCATATAAGCAAATTGTTTTGTAGATGAAAAAGACTTATTTTTCAACGGATCTACTTAAATACATGTATCAGTATGTTTTTTCAAGAATTCCTAGGAAAAATGCTGTTACCCTTTTTTTTCTTCCCAAAAGCACAAAATTTCAATGAGGGGTAGGCGCTCAAAGACAGCGAGCATTTGTTATGAGAAAAAAAAACAGAAGTGAATTGGTCACCACAGCAACACAGCACAGCAACACAATTTGCATTTGGAATACACAACAGATTCTGGCACGTATCCAAAAAAATTGAGAAAAAGCACTCTGCCAAAATGAAAAGCCACATTAAAGCAGCCAAGGAAAAAAATCAGCAATGTTTAGAAATCTTTTTTCCCTGTAATTTTCATTCTACCTCTGACAGTGTATTGTCATGGTGCTCCTGCAAATTCAACACTTCCTTTCTTAGCTGCTGGATGGTATCGTCACGTCTGGAAAGCTACCAGGCAAATCAAAACGACAAACTGCAGTTTCAGCTTTTTTATTGACCGAGATATATTTAACTTATGAGTATTTAAGACGTACTGGGGTTAACATTAAAAAGTCAATGCCAAACGGATTTGCACTTTGGGCCAATGAATATATCAAAACTGGATATTGCTTTTAAATGGAGTGACATCTTGTTGAAACATCTACATGTATGAGGTACAAGCCTAAGACAGCCTGAGATTGAAATGTTTTCATGCAACAGACTCACAATACTGTGAAACTGTTGATGTACTCACACAAGACAAGCTTATCTAAATTGAACTTATGCTATCAACAACACTTTTCAAATCTAATTCCCAGACTGAAATCTGTAGGACGTTGCACACACACACCACAGAAAGTGGGGGAAAAATGGTGAAAGAATCAAACCTCTTGCTTCAACAACTGGTGGCTGTCTTGGGAGGAGAGCTGCTTGTCTCTGAGTCGTGACTGGAGAACACCAATCTATGTTGTGATGAGAAGAAAAATAATAATTACGTGCACAAAATTTTTCCAACTTTACTGTCCC